TATCTGGGTCGTGACCCCCGTGTGAACAGAATGTGGGGTGTGTGTGTGTGTGTCTGGGGAGTCGCGGTGAGAGGGGGGGGGGGGGAATGCAAATGACAGCCAAACGAATTGTCTGATAAATATTCATAACCGGCGCGCTTTAAAACATGTTCGATTAATTGGGGCGTTAATGGAACAAAAATGGTGTCTACAGATCTATACAACAAACGTTAGGTCACTTCTGCTGATTTATTGATGGAACGATTTGTTTTAAATAATGTTATTTTAAACAAACATTTGACACTACACAATGTGGAGTGATGATAGATATGTAATGTACATGTCACATAGTGACATATATGTTGTCAGTGTGTTAAATACTAAAAGAAATACTGTGTACATGCCACACATTGACAAATATGTTGTCAGTGTGTTAAATACTGACAGATACACTGTGTACATGCCACATATTGACAAATATGTTGTCAGTGTGTTAAATACTGACAGATATACTGTGTACATGCCACATATTGACAAATATGTTGTCAGTGTGTTAAATACTGACAGAAATACTGTGTACATGCCACATATTGACAAATATGTTGTCAGTGTGTTAAATACTGACAGATATACTGTGTACACGTCACATACTGACAGGTATGTTGTCAACATTAAATACTAACAGCTATGTTGGCTACATGTAGAAACACGAGCTATATCTTGCGAGATATAAAATACTGTCGAGCCCAAAGTCCAAGACAAACCAACATATACACGCTATGTCAACCGAACTGTATCACGTGATCTAAAGAAAATCTGAAGAACTAAATTATGTCTATCTCATGGCTCTGTCGGTGCTTTAGCTCAGGGCCCTGTCGGTGCTCTGTCTACCCTAGCACCCGTACACAACAATTGACTGTCTAAAGACTGAACCGTACACAACGATTGACTGTCTAAACCGTACACAACGATTGACTGTCTAAACCGTACACAACGATTGACTGTCTAAACCGTACACAACGATTGACTGTCTAAACCGTACACAACGATTGACTGTCTAAACCGTACACAACGATTGACTGTCTAAACCGTACACAACGATTGACTGTCTAAACCGTACACAACGATTGACTGTCTAAAGTCTAAACCGTACACAACGATTGACTGTCTAAACCGTACACAACGATTGAATGTCTAAACCGTACACAACGATTGACTGTCTAAAGTCTAAACCGTACACAACGATTGACTGTCTAAACCGTACACAACGATTGACTGTCTAAACCGTACACAACGATTGACTGTCTAAACCGTACACAACGATTGACTGTCTAAACATACGATCATCTTGCAGCATATGTGATTGCACCGCCTGAGCCATAGAGCCGTCAATATAATCTTACAGCTACGGAGCCAATCTTTACATAACTACTGTAATTCCCATCCATATGGAGGTCCGTGGACGGGCTAAGTTGGGAGGGGATGGGGTGGGGGTGGGGGGGGGGGGTAATGGAGTGGCACGAGAAGCAACGTTGGCCCGTCCCTGTGAGACCCCATGACTGAATAAATCATCTTGTAATAACGGCCGTGAAATGCAGAGGAGAAATAACCGATATGGAAAGTCAAACGTATCATTTGAATATCGATGCAAGCAGATCTTGAGTAGAGCCCTCACTGCCTTATCTCACCCCCCCCCTCTCCAGTAGAGCACCTCCCTGCCATATCCCCCCTACCTCAGTGAAGCTCTTCCTAGCCGTATCTCCCTCACCCCCACCGTTAGGAGCTTACGTCAATAGGCAATTAATTCTAGAGCTCCAATCCGTTTTGTAAGGGTATTAAGGAGAGTTGGGAATGTGTGTGTGGTGGGGGGGGGGGGGTAGGGTGAGAGAGAACTGAGGGGGGAGGGGCTGGAGTAATTTAGTGAAGTCTACTGGCGTGGGAATGTCAGTCGTATTGTCATGCAAGGAATCAAAGAAGCTTATCTAAACTGGGGGGGGGGGGGGTATTTTTATTTAAAGTGGTGAGATATGGTCTGGACAGGTCCTAAACAAAAGATCATTGTCACTGATCAGGTCCTAAACAAAAGATCAGTGTTAACAGGCATAACCTAAACTATAATCTGCGCCTGTGTAGGTATATGTGGGTATGTGCGGGCAATGGAATATGTGTGATATAGTTTGACGTCCTTGTTTGTATGTGTGTGTAGTTGTTTATGTGTGTGCAAGTGTGCGAGTGTCAGTGCGTATGTGTGAGTGCGTGTGTATGTGTGAGTGGGCGCACGTGTGTGTGAGTGTGTGTGTGTATGTGTGTGTGTTTGCGAGTGTGTGTACGAGTGTGTGAGTATGTGTGTGAGTGTGTGTGTGAATGTGTGAGTGTGTGTGAGTATGTGTGTGAGTGTGTGTGTGAATGTGTGAGTGTGCGTGGGCGCGCGCGTGTGTGAGTGTGTGTGTATGTATGTGTGTTTGCGAGTGTGTGTACGAGTGTGTGAGTGTGTGTGTGAATGTGTGAGTGTGTGTGAGTATGTGTGTGAGTGTGTGTGAATGTGTGAGTGTGTGTGTTTGAATGTGTGTGTGTTTGTACACACCATGTTGCCACCACTTTGACATGTCTAAAAAAAGAAAAGGCCGAAAAGGAGCAGATAATTACTGTAAACATTTTTATTAAGAAAAGCAGAGGGTTTTAAAATACCATCAGTCTGAGCTGTAATCATGTGTAATACGATGTAATCACGTTGTAATCACGATGTAATCATGCTGTAATCACGTTGTAATCACGTGTATTTTTGTGTGCTGGGGTGAGTGACAGGGGAGGGGGGGGGGGTAGCTTTCAACCCATCATTACTTACACCAACAAAAAAGATATATCTCATTTTGAGACGTTCGTTTCAAGAGCCAAGAAATGGGAGAGAACTAGCTATGGCTTTAGGGGTCATAAGACCCCCATACCATGGACTTACACTGTCTCGAGGGATCACCAGACCCCCTTCCCTGGATTTATAAAAAAACAACGTGAAAAACGTGTATAACATTCTCTAAGTTAGACCCCGGCTCGAATAAATCCCTGTTTTACCCACAATGTTGCGACCCCGCTGTGTAGATTCTGTATTGTTACACAAACTGTTCCAAAACTCCCCTAAGGCCCAACGGTTCTCAGTCTTTGGAATTAGACCTAGGGTTATAGTAAGTTTATTATTTTTACACTTTGATTCAGCTATTTATCTCTAAAACCATGTAAACACAAAAACATGGAGATACATCGGTTTCTTTATTTACAATCAGTTAAGCTTTTATTTTTACACATACGTGTTTGATCTTGGAGAAGAAAAAGAAATTGAGAACCGCTTGAATAAAATATTGAACACTGTGCACATCGGAAGTTTTTAAGTTTGTGACATCGTAATGTTTCTGCTACCGTCTGGCTCGTGCTGGTAACTTTTAAATGCCATAAAACCACAATTTAACGTTTTTTTTTGTGGTTACAGGACCAGTACATGGACATATTTTTAACCACCCCACCCCAAACCCACCCCGACCACGACAAAATCCTGCCTCTGACACTATCCTTCGGAATCCTTCCAACCTTAATAATTAGTTACCCCACCGTCTCCACCCACTCCACGCAAACTTTAGGCCTAATGCACTGAGTATCTATCAAGCACATCTACCCCGTTGAAATAGAATTTATAAATACAATATCGGCTTCAACCAGCGTCCATCACCCCCCGAAATTTTATCTCTCCCCCCCCCCTTTTTTTTGTAGCGGCCATGCTACTCTTACATGTAGCAGTCTTATAACATTGTACCTTTCGGGAATAAAAAAAAACAATTCTCACATTCCAGCCCTCACCCCACCCCCACCCCCTTCCTCCCAGTCGCAGACGTAACGTCACATGTATTTTTAACTTGTTCCCGTATAGCTATCCCGCGTAAAAAAAAGTGTCAACCGATTGGCCTATAAACAGATGACCCGACGCATAACCCTTCAACGTCCAGTGCTCGTGTCGCTAAAATTAGAACGTGGTACTCTCTAACTCAATTGTTTATCTGCTGCTTGAAATCTTTTGAAAGCTTGAAGTCGTAGTAGAATTTTCTTTATTAAATTTTTATTGGCTACTTATTAAAATTTGAACGGTTAGACAAGTTGTCGTAGAGTTGTCTTTTCTAGCATTCTGTACATACATACATGTAAAAACTTAAATTGTTTTTTTTTTTTTGAAGAATACTGTCAGTGTGACTTTTTGGAAGTTAATTGGAGTTACGTTTTGGGCAGATGGCTGTGACTTGGTTCCATGGCCATGTGACTTTTTTTTTTATCTAATATCACATAAATCATCTCAAACATCTGAACTTTTTTAGACATTAAAGTAAAGAGTAAAAAGTGAAGGTATTTTGGACTTGACGGTCAAATAGGGCAGATGAAGTAGAGCTTATGTTTTTGTGACATCGGCAGACTCGTACATAGTGTGGTCAGTGCTAGGCCAAGTCGCCTTTCCTACCCCTCACGTGGGTCAAGTACTCACCTTAGCTAGGTGGACGCCTTGTCAGTGAAAAAAAAAATTATAATGTGCCCAGGTAATCATTATAGAAGTAGCTGTGTTAACAGAATCTGAGGAAGGCGTGATGTCTAAACATTTGTTTAGATATTTCTGTTTGTGTCAATACAAAACGTTTCTTCACTTTTGACTTATTTCATCTCGGGATGGTGAAGTTGTAAACCATCCATAGTGTACCTCGGCGTCACCAATTCACGGGTCATCATTCCTCTTGTCACCATCTCGTTGGTCACCTTTTCTGTTGGTCACCACCAGCAAAAGGTCACCACGAGCAAAAGGCCAACACAAATCTGCACCTTACATCAAATGTTTTAGGCAATATACAACAACACAACACAAAGCATGTCGGATATCGTTTTCGCTGACTTAAAAAACTTAGCTGAATTGTTTTAAAAAAGGAGAAGTCGGTCTGAATTGGTTAGTGAATCAAATCTAATAAAGTCTTTAATTGTGTCTTGTTTCCCGACAGACTTGTGGCTGACCTTGAAAGTTTCGGCTCTAAGGTGGACATGGGGTCCGACCCCCGGGTGCGGTACGTGACCCCCAACGTGGCCATGGAACTCTGGAACATCAAGAGCTCCGGTGATGTCGTCATTGGCTTCGGCGCCACGGAGTCGGAGAGCTGGTTCGATCCCCTGTCAGAACCTCGCATTCTCACTATCAAGGTAGGTGGTGATGGTAGTTATTGCATGTTTGATCCCCTGTCAGAACCTCGCATTCTCACTATCAAGGTAGGTGATTGTGGTCACTGTTATTTCTAAACCCTGGCAGAACCTCGCATTCTCACTATCAAGGTACGTGATTGTGGTCACTGTTATTTCTAAACCCTGGCAGAACCTCGCATTCTCACTATCAAGGTACGTGATTGTGGTCACTGTTATTTCTAAACCCTGGCAGAACCTCGCATTCTCACTATCAAGGTACGTGATTGTGGTCACTGTTATTTCTAAACCCTGGCAGAACCTCGCATTCTCACTATCAAGGTACGTGATTGTGGTCACTGTTATTTCTAAACCCTGGCAGAACCTCGCATTCTCACTATCAAGGTACGTGATTGTGGTCACTGTTATTTCTAAACCCTGGCAGAACCTCGCATTCTCACTATCAAGGTACGTGATTGTGGACAGTGTTATTTCTAAACCCTGTCAGAACCTCGTAATCTCACTATCAAGGTATGATATGGCGGTGGTCAGTGATTTACTCAACACTTATAGAGTAAGTAGAGTAGAGTTGGTCTAACACTCTCCCTGCCTCTGTCCAGTCAACCACTGTCCAATGTAGACAAACATGATTTATCAAGTAGACAAATATGATTTATCAAGTAGACACATATGATTTATCAAGTAGACAAATATGATTTATCAAGTAGACAAATACGATTTATCAAGTTCTGTGGAGCTGGGTCCGATTCACTGATTCACTTGATGCCTACTCTTCTCTTGACGACCTGAGGTTTGCTGCATGCAAACATTTGACCACGACATTTTATTTGTGTTTATATTTTTTCCATCCCAGAACCGCACTTGGTCGGAACAAAACTTGCCAGGTTTTGATATCGCCATTGAGTTGCCAGAAAGTCTTGTCAAAAACTCAATGAGAAGTAAGACTTATTTGCTTTATGTAATGTCAAGTGGACTTGTTTGTTATATGTTATATCAAGTGGACTTGTTTGTTATATGTTTTATCAAGTGTTATATCAAATGAAAATTTACCCCGCACATATGTGAATGTATGATGAATGGACATATTTTCTGGGTCTTGTTTTGAATATCGTTAGTACCTCAAAAGACATTAGAGCTTTTTTACCGTTTGACGTCTTATTTGTACCAATGTTAAACATGTGATTTCATAATAGTGATCTCTCCCCCCCCCCCCCCGCCCCCCCCCCCCCCCCCCCAGTGTACAAAGAGGACCCGGACAAGTCCTTGAGGCTGACCATGTTCCTGTACAGGAAGACAGCCCTGTTCACGGCCAGCGAGACAGCCTTCCCCCAGAGCACCCTCAACAGCCCCATCATCTCGGCCAGTCTGGGGGGTCTCAAGATCGTCGGGCTACAGGAGAAGGTCCGGCTGGTCTTCAAACCCTTCCTGGTGACGTGTCGCTCCAAACTTCTCGTTTATTGTTGCTTGTAGCATATTTACAACATTCTCTATGGCCAGCAATATTTTAACTCGTTTCTCATTACACATTGACCAATCAAATCATTTGTCTCTATCTCTCTCCCCACATTGATAAGTCACATCATTTCTCTCTCTCTCCACCCACATTGATCATTTCTCCCTCCCTCTCTGCCCCCCCCCCCCCCCTCCACTGCTCAGGACGACAAGGACCGAGAGAAACGAACCAGGTGCGTCTACTGGGACACGGAGAGCGGCCCCACCCCCAGGTGGTCGGACCAGGGGTGTACCTACAACGGTACCCTGAACGGGCGGGACGTCTGTCTGTGTGATCACCTGACCAACTTTGCCATCCTGCTGGTTAGTCTGGAACTTTCCTTACGTCTACAGTCAACATTTTGTTAGATTTATGTCGAAATGTTCAATTTAAAAACTTTCCTTATGTCTACAGTCAACATTTTGTTAGATTTATGTCTAAATGTTACATTTAAAAATCTAGAATTTCACGTTTAAGTAGCCATATCGCACGTTATTGCTCACGTGTAGCAGTAATCATTTGTCTGTTGACTCCAGGACTTCTATGGAGACGAGAAACCCATCTCCGCTGAAAACGAGACGTCTTTGAGTATTCTCTCTCTAATTGGCATCGGCCTGTCCATATTTGGTCTGGCTATCACCATCATCACGTTTCTGGCCTTCAAGTGAGTACACACAGGCTGTAGGTTGTTCGTTTCACCTGGCCGTACCTGGCACTTGTCCCCCCCCCCCCCCCTGTACCGTTTTATTAACTTTTATCACTGTCCCCCTTACACGGTTGTATCACTGTCCCTCTAACCGTCTGGTCCTTCCAGAAAACTCCGCCAGGGTCGGGCCCAGCAGACGTTATTCAACATGGCCATAGCCCTCCTGTGTTTCCAGACGACCTTCCTGGTGGGGGTGAAGCAGACGAGCATCCGGCCTGTGTGTCTGACCGTCTCCGTCCTGCTCCACTACCTGATCCTGGTCTCCTTCGCCTGGATGCTGATAGAGGCCGTGTTGCAGTACCTGACATTCGTCAAGGTGTTGGGCACCTACATCTCACGCTACACCCTCAAGACCGTGCTGCCGGCCTGGGGTGAGTCATATGTGGGGGGAGGGGTGGGTCGCACGGTTAGAATATGTGAGGGGAAGGGGTGGTGAGTCGCACGGTTAGAATATGTGAGGGGAAGGGGTGGTGAGTCGCACGGTTAGAATATGTGAGGGGAAGGGGTGGTGAGTCGCACGGTTAGAATATGTGAGGGGAAGGGGTGGTGAGTCGCACGGTTAGAATATGTGAGGGGAAGGGGTGGTGAGTCGCACGGTTAGAATATTTGGGGGGGGGGGGGTGAGTCGCACGGTTAGAATATGTGAGGGGAAGGGGTGGTGAGTCGCACGGTTAGAATATGTGAGGGGAAGGGGTGGTGAGTCGCACGGTTAGAATATTTGGGGGGGGGGGTGAGTCGCACGGTTAGAATATGTGAGGGGAAGGGGTGGTGAGTCGCACGGTTAGAATATTTGGGGGGGGGGGTGAGTCGCACGGTTAGAATATGTGAGGGGAAGGGGTGGTGAGTCGCACGGTTAGAATATGTGAGGGGAAGGGGTGGTGAGTCGCACGGTTAGAATATTTGGGGGGGGGGGGTGAGTCGCACGGTTAGAATATGTGAGGGGAAGGGGGGGTGAGTCGCACGGTTAGAATATGTGAGGGGAAGGGGTGGTGAGTCGCACGGTTAGAATATTTGGGGGGGGGGGGGTGAGTCGCACGGTTAGAATATGTGAGGGGAAGGGGTGGTGAGTCGCACGGTTAGAATATGTGAGGAGAAGGGGTGGTGAGTCGCATGGTTAGAATATTTGGGGAAGGGGGGGGGGGAGAGGGTGAGTCGCGCGGTTAGAATACGTGTGGGGAGGGGGAGGTGAGTTTCACGATTAGAATATATATGGGGAGGGGGGGGGTCACACTTTTAGAATACGTGTGGTTAGGGGGTGAGTCACAGTTTTCTTATATGTGTGGGATGAGTCGCATTTTTAGACCATGTGTGGCTGACATTGATTTGATTGTGGTTGTTTTAGTTGTTAGTGTAGTCGCTGTTGTGCTGGTTGACGTGGTGTGATTGTTTGTGTGATTGTCCATGTTGTTGTCGGGTAAGTTTCCACAAATGACCCCCACTGACAACACAGAGATCCAGCATGCAGTGTGAAACACACCAGAGAGTCCAATGGCCGATGTAGTAGCTGAGATAGCACTAGGTACACGCCTGGCCGTGTGTACTGTCCCCCACCCCACTCCACTCCATCGACTTCTCAGGGCTGGGTTAACTTTGAAATGTCTCACAATCTCATCATATGATGAGCTTCTAACCTTAGCTTACACTAACCAAATGTTGACCATTTAACCCGAGCTAAACCTAACCAAATGTTGAGCGTTTAACCCGAGCTTACCCTAACCAAATGTTGACCATCTAACCTTAGCTAAACCTAACCAAATGTTGATCCGATCTTACCCTAACCAAATGTTGACCGTTTAACCCAAGCTAAACCTAACCAAATGTTGACCATTTAACCCAAGCTAAACCTAACCAAATGTTGACCGTTTAACCCGAGCCCCACCCTGATGTCTTCTCCAGGTCTACCCCTGTTGCCTGTCATCGCAGTGTTGGCCACAGACTACAACCTTTACCTTGGGCGGTCTAATTAGTGAGTTCGTTGTTACAACTAATTAATTACGTGCTCATTAGGGCTCAATTGTTTGGTCAAATTAGTGAGTTCTTTCTTACAACTAATCAATTACGTGTTGATTAGTGTTTGATCTTATAACCTAATTCCTTACAACATTAAACAATGATGTGATGTATCTGTGTTTGACCTTGGTGTCGTGACATTGATGTCGTGACCTTGGTGTTGTTACCTCGATGTCTTGACCTTGGTGTCGTGACCTTGACCTCGTGAGTACACTCTCTCCCCGCAGTTGCTGGATGGACCTGCACGCCTTCTACTACGCCTTCGCCCTGCCAGTGGGCATCATCGTTCTCTTCAACATCATCATGTTCTTCGTCATCATCGTCAGTCTGGTGACCCGACCCAAGGGACTCCGGAGTACCCAGGCCAACAGCAAGACACGGGAGACAAACCTCAAGGCCGCATTCACCATATTTGTCTTGTTAGGTAAGACAGGGCCACTATATTTGTCTTGTTAGGTAAGACAGGGCCACTATATTTGTCTTGTTAGGTAAGACATTGTTAGGTAAGACAGGGCCACTATATTTGTCTTGTTAGGTAAGACATTGTTAGGTAAGACAGGTCCACTATATTTGTCTTGTTATGTAAGACAGGACCATTATATTTGTCTTGTTAGGTAAGAAAGATCCACTATATTTGTCTTGTTATGTAAGACATGACCACTATATTTGTCTTGTTAGGTAAGGCAGGTCCACTATATTTGTCTTGTTAGGTAAGACAGGGCCACTATATTTGTCTTGTTAGGTAAGACAGGTCCACTATATTTGTCTTGTTAGGTAAGACAGGTCCACTATATTTGTCTTGTTAGGTAAGACAGGTCCACTATATTTGTCTTGTTAGGTAAGACAGGACCACTATATTTGTCTTGTTAGGTAAGACCGGTCCACTATATTTGTCTTGTTAGGTAAGACAGGTCCACTATATTTGTCTTGTTAGGTAAGACAGGTCCACTATATTTGTCTTGTTAGGTAAGACAGGTCCACTATATTTGTCTTGTTAGGTAAGACAGGTCCACTATATTTGTCTTGTTAGGTAAGACAGGGCCACTATATTTGTCTTGTTAGGTAAGACAGGACCACTATATTTGTCTTGTTAGGTAAGACAGGACCACTATATTTGTCTTGTTAGGTAAGACAGGTCCACTATATTTGTCTTGTTAGGAAAGACAGGTCCACTATATTTGTCTTGTTAGGTAAGACAGGTCCACTATATTTGTCTTGTTAGGTAAGACAGGACCACTATATTTGTCTTGTTAGGTAAGACAGGTCCACTATATTTGTCTTGTTAGGTATGACAGATCCACTTTATTTGTCTTGTTAGGTAAGACAGGTCCACTATATTTGTCTTGTTAGGTAAGACAGGGCCACTATATTTGTCTTGTTAGGTAAGACAGGTCCACTATATTTGTCTTGTTAGGAAAGACAGGTCCACTATATTTGTCTTGTTAGGTAAGACAGGTCCACTATATTTGTCTTGTTAGGTAAGACAGGTCCACTATATTTGTCTTGTTAGGTAAGACAGGACCACCATTTGTGTCCTGCCGAGAAAGTCATGTCTCAATACAGTGTCCTTTTGACATCGTTGACAAATTGTTCTTCGATAGGTTAACGTCATTGTCATTTTGTTTGGACGTCACTGTCATTTTGTTTGGACGTCACTGTCATTTTGTTTGGGCGTCACTGTCATTTTGTTTGGGCGTCACTGTCATTTTGTTTGGACGTCACTGTCATTTTGTTTGGGCGTCACTGTCATTTTGTTTGGACGTCACTGTCATTTTGTTTGGGCGTCACTGTCATTTTGTTTGGGCGTCACTGTCATTTTGTTTGGACGTCACTGTCATTTTGTTTGGACGTCACTGTCATTTTGTTTGGACGTCACTGTCATTTTGTTTGGACGTCACTGTCATTTTGTTTGGACGTCACTGTCATTTTGTTTGGACGTCACTGTCATTTTGTTTGGACGTCACTGTCATTTTGTTTGGACGTCACTGTCATTTTGTTTGGACGTCACTGTCATTTTGTTTGGACGTCACTGTCATTTTGTTTGGACGTCACTGTCATTTTGTTTGGACGTCACTGTCATTTTGTTTGGACGTCACTGTCATTTTGTTTGGACGTCACTGTCATTTTGTTTGGGCGTCACTGTCATTTTGTTTGGACGTCACTGTCATTTTGTTTGGACGTCACTGTCATTTTGTTTGGACGTCACTGTCATTTTGTTTGGACGTCACTGTCATTTTGTTTGGACGTCACTGTCATTTTGTTTGGACGTCACTGTCATTTTGTTTGGACGTCACTGTCATTTTGTTTGGACGTCACTGTCATTTTGTTTGGGCTCATGACGTCCTACCGACTCAAACACGGGATCAAAACTTGGGTTAACAGTCGAACACTCTACCATTTGACCAAATCTTCCCTCTTGTTTAACTGTATCCTAACCTTAAACTTGACACTTCCTTGTTGACAAGTTTAACCTGACTGTCGAAAGTTAAACTTGACATCCCTTCATGTTTATCCTGACTGTTGAAAGTTAAACTTGACATCCCCTCAGGTTTAGCCTGACTGTTAAACTTGACATTCTACAGGTTTAACCTGACTGTTAAACTTGACATTTTACAGGTTTAACCTGACTGTTAAACTTGACATTTTACAGGTTTAACCTGACTGTTAAACTTGACATTCTACAGGTTTAACCTGACTGTTAAACTTGACATTCTACCGGTTTAACCTGAGTGTTAAACTTGCCATCCTTTAGGTTTAACCTGGCTGTTTGGGTTCCTGGCTGTTGAAGACGCCCGCCTGCCATTCCAATACGCCTTCACCATCTTCAGCTCCCTGCAGGGGTTTCTCATCTTTGTGCTCATGGTGGCACGGAGGAAGCAGGTATGTGGTTGGTTCGTGTGGTTACATGTGGCTGGTTCGTGTGGTTACATGTGGCTGGTTCGTGTGGTTACATGTGGCTGGTTCGTGTGGTTACATGTGGCTGGTTCGTGTGGTTACATGTGGCTGGTTCCTGTGGTTACATGTGGCTGGTTCGTGTGGTTACATGTGGCTGGTTCCTGTGGTTACATGTGGCTGGTTCGTGTGGTTGCATGTGTCTGGTTCCTGTGGTTGCATCATGTGGTTACATGTGGTTACACGTGGTTGGTTCATGTGGTTACATGTGGCTGGTTCGTGTGGTTACATAATGTGGTTTCATGTGGCTGATTTGTGTGGTTACATGATCTAGACACAAGAAGGAAAACACATTACTGGTTTTAACACATACACATTGAAGTAATTGAAATACACGAACAGTTCAATAAACATCTCTGTTAGTTGAACACCTGTGTTCCCGAAACACCTGTGTTATCTAAACACCTGTGTTCACCTGTCCACCCTAAGGTACGAGACCAGTGGTGCGCGGCGTGTTGCACAAAGAAAAATGGCGCCCAGCACCGCCAGAAGCAGCTGTCCCCCAGCTCCTCCAGCTCCAACAGCAGCATCAACCACAGCCGCACGCTGCCCAGCTTCGTCAACCACACCTACACCGGCGACTCAGTCATCATCAAACCCGGCAGTCGCAGGGAGAGCACCCTATCAGCCTAGCTCCCAGTTTAAACAGACTCTCAAAAAGTGCTTTCGAGTTAGAGCAATAAAAATTATGTAATTATGATGGAGTGTCATTAACTTAAATAATAATTTTTAAAACGTGCAGTTTTTTATAATTAAAATTTTATAAAAACAAATATTTTGAAAAGGGATAAAAATGTGAGGTAGGGGAAACAACTCATCTAATTTGTTTTCATTAAAAATCATTTAAGTAATTATCTCCCTTCACAATGGATTAATATTTGTAAGAAATGTGACAGTCTTTCTTGGTTTGAAATTTTTTTATATTATAGGAAACATTTTTCTGAAGATGAACCACTTTTTATTAATCAAGATGAAGTGGGGTATTCATAAATTTGTGTAATTATAGCATCCATTTCTGTGGTTTGTAATTTAACTTAAAACAATGCAAAAAGACAAATCAAACACAATTTTTATTTTCATGAATCATTTTCAATTGGTTTATGAAGTTGGGCTATATTTTGCATTAGGTTTAATTTAATGTAGGATAGTTAATCTTAAACAAAATGTTACCAATGATTTTCCTGATCTGTTGATTTTTTTTTTGTCTCCCTTAAAACCTGGTGCAGATTTTACACACCAATGGTAGCCATGTACTGAGTGTGTAGATTGTGTACTGAGTACATCGACTGTGTACTGAGTACATCAGCCATGTACTGAGTGTGTAGACTGTGTACTGAGTACATCAGCCATGTACTGAGTGTGTAGACTGTGTACTGAGTACATCAGCCATGTACTGAGTGTGTAGACTGTGTACTGAGTACATCAGCCATGTACTGAGTGTGTAGACTGTGTACTGAGTACATCAGCCATGTACTGAGTGTGTAGACTGTGTACTGAGTACATCAGCCATGTACTGAGTGTGTAGACTGTGTACTGAGTACATAGACTGTGTACTGAGTACATCAGCTGTGTACTGAGTACATCGACTGTGTACTGAGTGCATAGACTTGTAGTGAGTACATAGACGGTGTAGTGAGTACATCAGCTGTGTACTGAGTACATCAACTGAGTGCATAGACTGTGTAGTTGGTGCATCAGTATTGCACAGAATGCAGCAGCAGTGTACTGGGACAAAGTGCACTAGATGTATATGATTAAAGTGCACATAACACGAGCAGTGCACTATCCCACAATACAGTACACAGATGGTAAATGACTGCACTGTATTCCACCAGCCATCAACAGTGGCACACCAGTAATGCATGTGTCGTGGTATAAGATGCATTGCTGTCTACTACAGTACATAAGGACTAACCCATGTTAGGATTCTGTATTACAGTTTATCTAATGTTCAAACGTTTTATTTCATTTTATTTTTGGAAATGAGAAATCTATTTTTTTTCTGTCTGGAATTTTAAAAAAAAGTAAAATAAAAAAATGAAATCCAGAAACGTTGCCTTGTTTTTTGTTTTTATGTCTATAGCTTGTAGGAATGTTAATGGTGTCAAGACATGTACTTGTGTAACCGACTTACAAATGTTCCAATGTACGAGATTTTTTTTTTTCCGAACCGTCAATCGAGCGATATTTTGCTTTGAAATGCGAATACAATTTGAGATACAAGGAATCGATTACAATTTGAGATACAAAGAATCGAGTAAGATTTGAGATACAAGGAATCGAGTAAGATTTGAGATACAAGGAATCGAGTAAGATTTGTAATACAAGGAATCGAGTAAGATTTGAGATACAAGGAATCGAGTAAGATTTGAGATACAAGGAATCGAGTAAGATTTGAGATACAAGGAATCGAGTAAGATTTGAGAAACAAGGAATCGAGTAAGATTTGAGATACAAGGAATCGAGTAAAATTTGAGAAACAAGGAATCGAGTAAAATTTGAGAAACAATGAATCGAGTAAAATTTGAGATAAAGGAATCGAGTAAGATTTGAGATACAAGGAATCGAGTAAGATTTGAGACACACAGAATCTCTGACAGTTTTCTTCAAACAGCCTGCGTGTGAGAGAGGAAGATGATGAAAGAGTTGCTATAAACACCGAGGTCAGTAAAAGAAAAGCTGTGAGGACAGATGATCGCAAGTTACAAAAACAGTTTGAACAGTTGCTTTCAAGTTCAGTTCTGTTCGGTGAAGTTTAGTTCCATTAAGTTGAGAAACAAAGTGTAGCATTGGCTGTGTTATGAGTACATTAACCAATGATGCTTCGCCTATTCCTCAACTCTACTCCACCACCAGCATCTTCCGTAAGCTCAAGGAGAAGACTTTCAAAGGTGTATACAGTAGTTAAACCATTTGATTTTTTACATTCTCTTTGATTATGTTTTGTTTACAAAATGTATCATGACTCTGTTGTTGTATTGATGTATGACAGTTGGATGGTGACGTATGTGGCTGCAGATAAACCAAACGTAATCTTTGGTGCACTTGTATGTGGTTTTCTTTGTAAACATGTGCAGTGAAGTAGTCGAGAATTTGTATTGGTAATTCTTGATTACTTGTCTTAAATATATTTGTATTACGGTATTTTAAAAAAATGTGTAGATTACAATTTACAGGTATAAGTAAAATAAAATGTCATAAATTAAAGAACGATGAAACATCGATAAAAATTAATATAGTCTAATTTAGGATTTAATACAGCGAAGTTTGTGTGTGTGTGTGTGTTTCAGATTATATTCAATAGTAATTAAACGTTCTAAAACTTATAAATAAACTACATAAAGTTATATACAATTGTAATAATCATGACGTGTTTTTAATTGTGTTTATTTTTATCACGTGTAGAGGTAGTGCAACAGGACACGTATATCTTTGTGTCCGGGTGTTCGGAGTTAGAACACATTGTAGTCTAAGGGCAGTAACCCACGAAAATCTATGCTATGTTTGTAAACAAACTGATAAGCTATTTATAGCTCGGCGAGCGGTGTTTCAAAGATGGAGAGAGGGTTGCCAGATCAAGTTTTGCCGAATGTGTGAACTTTGTTATCTGTGGCAACTTCTTTCTGACACTAGAGCTACTCTCTCTCGTGTCGAATGTGTGAACTTTGCTACCTGTGGCAACTTCTTTCTGACACTAGAGCTACTCTCTCTCGTGTTAACTTTGCTACCTGTAGCCACTGTTGCTGACGCTGCAGCTAATCTCTCCCCCTCCCCACCCCCTGTCTCTCACGTGTCGAACGTGTCAACACCGGTACTTTGATTACACGACCGATAAAGTGTGGTCGGGAGATAATTTTATTTTCACACTTTAATTAATTACAAACGACAACCCAATTAAGCAAAAAGACAATGGTGGATTAGTTAAAAGTTTCTACTTTCTACAGGATCGACACAAATCTGTTTTACGTGGGTCTTAAAGCTACTTGTGAATTAGTTGCAATAGTCGCTGTTATGTTTTATTGATGTTAATGGCTGGTTGGGGGTAGGGGATTGTAGGAAAAAAAAACCACAAAAAAAGTCACAGAAAAAAGTCATAGGAAAAAAAGGTCACAGGATAAAAAAAAAACCCAGAAAAGTCACAGGAAAACGAAAACAAAATCACAAATGTGTATTTGCATGAACTTTGTTAGTACTTTTATATATTGAATATTCAGAAAGTGTAAACCAACTTAAATGTAATGTAACTATTTTAGACATATGTGCATAGGTTGTATACGTATAGTCAGAGGCGTAGCGAGGGGGGCGGTGGGTGCGGACCGCACCGGGTGACACCATATAGGGGGGCGACACCAAGGCAAAAAATAGCAAACTATATAGAGAAAAATTCGAGGTGGGGGGTGCAAGTCCAAAGTTTGATATGTTTGAGGGGGGGGGGGAGAAGGTGCAAATCAAGTTTGAGGGGGGGGGGGGTGGGGTGCAAATCGAAAATTGAAAGTTGTCCCCTGGAAGGGCCTCTACACCTCTGGGTAGTGACACCATTAAGTGCCGCACCGGGTAACACCCGACCTCGCTACGCCACTGCGTATAGTTATATTTATAACACACGTATACATGTTTAGTATGAAGTATGTAGGTTTTAATTCCGTTATAAATAAAACATTTAATAGAATGTTCCAACCTTCTCAGTTTTCATCGTGTGTTTTAATGTTAACTTTGAATTATCGTAAAATGGCATAAAGTTGGAGTCAATTTGACTTGCTGCCCTCAACTCATCGCAACGACTGTACTGCCCACATTTATTACGCTCATTTCATAACAAAGCATAAGATCAAAATAGAAAGCCGACACGGTACAAAGGCTGTCATTGACGCAAAACGTCAACAACACACAATATGGACGGACAATATGGACGGATAATATGGACGGACAATATGAACGGACAATATAGAAGGACAATATGGACGGACAATATGGACGGACAATATGGACGGACAATATGGACGGACAATATGGACGGACAATATGGACGGACAATATGGACGGACAATATGAACGGACAATATAGAAGGACAATATGGACGGACAATATGGACGGACAATATGGACGGACAATATGGACGGACAATATGGACGGACAATATGGACGGACAATATGGACGGACAATATGGACGGACAATATGGACGGACTATATAGACGGACAATGTGGATGGACAATATGAACGGACAATATGGACGGACATTATGGACGGACAATATGGACGGACATTATGGACGGACAATATGGACGGACATTATGGACGGACAATATAGACGGACAATATAGACGGACAATATAGACGGACAATATGGACGGACAATATGGATGGACAATATGGACGGACAATATGGACGGACAATATGGACACACAATATGGACGGACAATATGGACGGACAATATGGACACACAATATAGACGGACAATATGGACGGACAATATGGACGGACATTATGGACGGACAATATGGACACACAATATGGACGGAAAATATGGACGGACAATATGGACGGACAATATGGACGGACATTATGGACGGACAATATAGACGGACAATATAGACGGACAATATGGACGGACAATATGGATGGACAATATGGACGGACAATATAGACGGACAATATAGACGGACAATATGGATGGACAATATGGACGGACAATATAGACGGACAATATGGACGGACAATATGGATGGACAATATGTGACTTTTTTTCTGTGACTTTTTTCCTAGCAAAAGCTGTATCTTTTATTCTGTGACTTTTTGTTCCGATCACGGAAGTAAGGGGGGGGGTGTATTACAATGTTGGGTGGGAGACGGGGGGGGGGGGGAGTATTTAAATTGTTATACATAACAATATTCTTTTATAAAACTAACCGACGGGGTTCTTGATGATCTGTTAAGTCACCTCCGCCCACATCCGCCCTACTTTAAAAATGTGACGCGCTGTTTACATGTGACGGTACATGCCTTGGATCAATCAACCGTGACGCGCACAAGTGCAGCAGGAGCGATGTTGTGACTTAAGAACCTGCCCTTGTGGCAGGGTCACAGAAACAGGCCACGTAACCTAGCTTTTCTAGGAGACGAAACCTAGCTTTTCTAAGGGACGTAACCTAGCTTTTCTAGGAGATGTAGCCTAGCCTTTCTAAGGGACGTAACCTAGCTTTTCTAAGGGACGTAACCTAGCTTTTCTAGGGGACGTAACCTAGTTATACCAGGGGACCTAACTTAGCTATATCAGGGGATGTAACCTAGCTATACCAGGGGACGTAACCTAGTTATACCAGGGGACCTAACCTAGCTATATCAGGGGATGTAACCTAGCTATACCAGGGGACGACAGGGGACGTAACCAAGCTATACCAGGGGACGTAACCTAGTTATACCAGGGGACCTAACTTAGCTATATCAGGGGATGTAACCTAGCTATACCAGGGGACGACAGGGGACGTAACCAAGCTATACCAGGGGACGCAACCTGACTATACCAGAGGAGGTAACCCAGCTTCACTAAGGGACGTAACCTAGCTATACCAGGGGAGGTAACCCAGCTTTATTAAGGGACGTAACCTAGCTATACCAGGGGACGTAACCTAGCTATACCAGGAGACGACAGGGGACGTAACCTAGCTATACCAGGAGACGTAACCTAGCTATTCCAAGGGTCGTGACCTAGCTATACCAGGAGACGTAACCTAGCTATACCAGGGGACGTAACCAAGCTATACCAGGAGACGTAACCTAGCTATACCAAGGGACGTAACCTAGCTATACCAGGGGATGTAACCTAGCTATACCAAGGGACGTAACCTAGCTATACCAGGGGACGTGACCTAGCTATACCAGGAGACGAAAGGGGACGTAACCTAGCTATACCAGGAGACGACAGGGGACGTAACCAAGCTATAACAGGGGACGTAACTTAGGTATACCAGGGTATGTAACCTAGCTATACCAGATGACGTAACAAGCGGGGGTGGAGAGGCGGTCCGC